GACTAACTACATAAATGCAGCATATTTCAAATATGTATAGTTTAAAAACATGACTTAACCCATAAATTACCAAGCGGTCACCGTTGACCGCTTTCCACTAATATTACATTACATTATAGACCTTATTTGTAATGTTTAGAGACTACTTTTGTATGACCAAATTTAGGGGGTGGATTTCAACGGGTTAAATAAAAACATAATTATAAAAATACTCACTCCCAAAACTCCTATAGTATTGCAGAAATGCCATCCCATGAGCCAATCTATTTCATAACTGTGGTTCATTATAAGGTATCCATGTTCTTTCCCATAATATTTTTCATATTCATCCTTTTTAATGTAAATAATAAGCTTTGAATTTGACCACCATTCTGACATAAACACTAATTCTGAAAAAGAATGCAATTATTAAATATTTGAGTAATAAAATTTATTATACATAATGCATATAAGGTAGACTTAATGCCATGCAATTAAGAATATTAATTAAATAAACATTAATGAATGTAAAGATCTCTTTAGAGGAATGGAAACACAGAATTATCATAAAAGAAATGTTTTAGTACTTACGACTGTAAAATGAGTATGCCAGATAATAATTTATCTTTCTGTACAAAGATTTATTGAATGGCCTGAGTCCAAAGTATAAAATAGCTTGTATAAAGGTCAGAATCAAGCCAGATGTGAAGTAAGATATAGCAAAACACAGATGGACGATTGTGGATTGCTTTAAAATGCTTAAGCTTATCATCTTGAATGTGTCACCTTAATCCTGCAGTCATGAAATCTAAAACAAAAATTTAACAACATCATTTTAAGGAAATGAGTGCTATTTTATTTTAAGTAATAAACAAATTAATGACATTCTGCAAATACAATCTCAAGTAATATATTTTAAATATTGAGAATTTTTTATTTTATTAATAATTTAATATTACAGAGTCAAAAGACTCTTGAAGTTTGCATCTAATGATGACAAAATAAATAAATTATATTATGTAATGAAGATGTCAAGAAGAACATTTTAACATATAATACAATAAATACGCACTTTGATTGATAAAGCAATTGAAGAATTATGAACAATTTGTGAATAAATAAACTTAAGTCCTTGGACTAAGTACTCAGTTCATACATAAATATACCGTGATTGTATTTCAATCAGCACATGGTTCACGAGCACATGATTTTTACGGTTACATAGAATTAATATTGTCTATATTATTATTTGAATTAATAATACAATTAAATTTATAAAATTTAGAATAATAATTTAAAAACTATTCTCATATTGTCGCAATGACAGAATAAGTCAGATGGATTACAAATTGGAAAGCGGCATTTTGTTTATTCAATCCACTCCAATACAATGTTGATTTACCTACCATGTCAATTCCTTCTTCTTTTTTGTTATAAACGCCGGAGAGGTTCACACCACACAGTACGGTTAAAAACAAATAAGAACAAAATCGTGCCTAATCTACTCGAACACCGCTATTTTTTGATAGTGAAGTGGTGAAGTATTGAAGTGAAGAAATGAACATGAACTGATTTTGAATGTGAACTATCGAAATATAGAGAACGAAATGAATGACAAAAGTAAAGCCCAAAAATTATTTTCATTCTTTCAGGATACTAACTGAATGAATGAAATTATTGACATAAGAGCACAGAATCCTTAGAATCAGAGAATCTTTTATTGTCTATGTTAGTAGTGTTGTAACAAGGAATATAATAATGAACGTCGATTCGTTATTAATCATCACGATACACCACCAGGGCAATATCAATCAGTAATTCAGTAGCATGTATGTGCTGTAACTATTATAATGCCCGGATTACTTCTGCCAGACGACTAAAAGCAATTTTATGAGAATCCCACAACAAAATTACACTAGCACTCTCGACTTGCTTTGACAGTTGCTGTGGACAGTTGACTCTAATCCTGTCTAGTCTATGTCTGATAGTGCTATAACATAAAAAAATAAGTTTGTTTACATTAAATTTTACAGTCAAAATTATTCTTCACTTTGTGTAAGACTTTAGTTATCTAAAAAATAATGAATATCAAATACAGCAACAGCCATGCACTGATAAATGATGATAGGTCAGAAAGGTTCCAATTTGAATGATTTTTTATACGGTACTAATAGAAAAATCTTACTTATTTTATAAATAATGAGGATTACGTAATTACTATCTCTAAATACGTCTTTCCAAAACTTAAAATGATTTGTTTTAATAAACATGTGAAAAGGATAGCGGTGCAGGCGTACAATTATAGAAATATTATTTATTCCCCAAATTCTGTTGTACTTGGAATAGAAACTTCTTGTGATGACACTGGCTGTGCAGTTGTAGATAGCACAGGTTCTATACTGGGAGAGTCTTTGTATTCGCAAACTGCTTTACATATAAGATACGGTGGCGTGAACCCCGTTTTTGCACATGAGTTACACAGAAGCAATATAGAAAGTGCTGTATCAGATGCCCTTCGAAATGCAGGGAAAAACATTAAAGATATAGATGCCATTGCAGTAACTACTAGACCAGGCTTGCTCTTAAGCCTACAAGTTGGATCAAAGTATGCTAGGTATATGTGTAGAATACATAACAAACCTTTGATACCTATTCATCACATGGAGGCTCATGCTTTAGTAGCAAGAATGTATCATAAGGTCCAGTTTCCATTCTTAGTTCTACTTATATCTGGTGGCCACTGTTTACTGGCACTAGTCAAAGATGTAAATAATTTTGAGTTGCTTGGAAAGGGCATAGATAATGCTCCTGGGGAAGTTCTTGACAAAGTTGCTAGAAGAATGAAATTGAGAAATAAACCTGAATATTCTAAAATATCTGGAGGACAAGCAATAGAGTTGGCAGCACAGAGGTCTACAAACTTAAGTCAGTTTGAATTCCCTCTTCCTTTGGCCAAATATAGAGACTGCAATTTTAGTTTTAGTGGCCTAAAAGATTCTACCATAAGAAAACTTGAAGAAAGAGAAACGGAACATAATGTGATGGGTGATGAATTAATACCAGAAGTATATGACCTTTGTGCAGCATTCCAGCTTGCTGTTGCAGAGCATATAGCTCATAGAACTCACAGAGCTATGCTTTACTGTGAAAAATATAAATTGATAGATCCTAATAACAGAGTTGTTGTAGTGTCAGGTGGAGTTGCTTGTAATAATTTCATATTTAAATCTATTGAACATGTTGGAAGTGAAATGGGCTACAGAACATATCGTCCACCTCACAATGTTTGCACAGATAATGGTGTTATGATTGCTTGGAATGGAATTGAGAAACTGAGAAAACAGATTGATATTAGGACAGACTTCAGTCTCAAAGTAGAGCCTGAAGCACCTTTAGGTAAAGATTCAAGAGATAAAGTTGAAACTGCTAATATCAAAACAAGAGTAACAAGGTTAAAAAAACTGTACAACTAATTTTATTTTGTTTTATTTATACCTCAAGGCATGTCCTCCGTGTTATGAACTTGTGTTCATAATTTTATGATTATGAATAAGAATAAATAAAGAAACATATTTAGTAACAATAATTTATTGACAGTTTACATAAAACTAATTTGTTTGCTGGTAATCATGCATGCTGATAAAGAATTCCCATTTGTCTACTTGCCGGCAGCATTCAGATCTGAAAATCACAAATTCACTATTAGTAAATCATATCAACACTATTTAAAAAGACCTTTGACAGGAAAAATAGCAAAAACAAAACAAACAAACTAAAAGTTTCATTATGCATAGAATAAAACGAAATTAAATGCAGTTAAACTATTCATTTGTTAGTGTCATCTTCACACACACTTGCTGCAATCAAAATAATACTAAACTAAATCACTATAATTCTATAGATTAGTTTTTGTGTTAGATCAATTCCATTTAAAACAGAATTGGATGGACAAACACTGTAACTTTGGTTGTTTTGTAAGACAAACCTAATCAGTTCATCCACTTAGTCCTTTTCATCTGAAAAATTAATTGATAATGGTTTTACACACCTACAAGATATTGAGTAAGGCAAGAGCAGTTTATCATCACCTGTTCCTGTTAACTTAGTAAAACTATGTACTTAGATATCAGAATAATAAAATGTCTATTTATAACTAGAGGCAGGTACCTGTATTAAGGAACCTTAATTTATAGGATTTTCCTAAATTGATACATACGTGCTGGCCTGCCATTAGCCCATGGAGTAATGCGGACATGGGAGTCATCACGCTTCAGTGCTTCAGCGCGCAACTCAGGTTTCAAGGATCGCCGCAGGATCTTAGCAGCGATGTTAGAGTAGTTTATGTAACTAGAATAACATAACCTTCATTGTATCTCATTCATCAATATACCTTATTAGAATCAATAAATTTATGTCTTTAAAGCACTTACTTAAGACCGGCTTGTCTCCAGGCACTCATTTTGTGTTTTTTTGCTAAGTTTTACAACCTGCAAAGTAGTGTCCTGCGAATCCGAAGGAAAAATCGAATTTCGAATAGGTCGGAATGTCGGATTGAAATGACGTAACATTCAATGGCAGTATTCGATAGGCAGTGTAGTGTAGTGTTATTTTAGTTATGGCAATTGTTATTTGAGGAACAATAATTTGTATTGGTTTCTGGCAAACACTATTTATTTTCAATGGAATATTTAAATTTACATCATACATATCATGCCTGTCCCCCATGGAGGTATGCACTCACTTTCTCAATAGTCTTCAGTATCTCGTAGGTTAAGGGTACTTTTAATTTGGCGCTTCTTTAATATTTCTTAGTAATATAAATGAAGGCATTTTTTTATAATAATTATAATCCTCAAAGGAATAATTATAATCCTTTGAATTGAATCATCAACCAATCAGCTACATTTTATTTAGTCGATTATATTAATCGATTATTAGTTTAACGTCAAACTGAATTATTTTACTAGGTAACTCTGCTAATTGCTTTTAATCACTTTTTGCTCATTAACTGGTATCCCTAGATTTGCTTTGCATGCATGGTGAAAAATAGTAAAAATGTTGAGTAAACCAAAATAAAAAAATACAAATTCAATTCACTATTTTTCAAGAAATTCTTTTCTACTTCGGTGCCTTTCATCAGTTTTGAACCTTTCTAATAAGGTAAGTCGTTTAATTGGATAAGCAAACTGAAACATCAGTATTTGAACTTTCACTTGAAAAAAAAATTGAGTTGGCATGAATTGATAGGTACAATCCACGTTATCTGTGTAATTATTTTAAATGTGGTGACATGCTAGTAATATTCCGTTGTTGACAATATAAAATATCTCTTCAGAAGATCTTAGTAACATTTATTCCTGGATTAACATAAATATTGTAAGGCCAATAGTGCAACTGGATTCCTTGCACTCTTTTAATCTAATATGTTTGTATACTTGCAGTAATTCAGTAATAAGATGGATGCTGCTGATCGTCTTCTAAACAATGAGAGACTGGGGGCACATAATTTAGAAGAGGACCAATTATTGAAGAAGTCACAGCCTGGAGTGAAGAGTGACTTAGTAAATGAGTGTAAAGTATTTATTAAGGCGGAGGATGGCAGTGGAGATGGACAAGTAAATACTTTTGCAGCTATGATACCAAAACAGTCAGGTAAGTAATGGTTCTTTCATATCATATTAACTGATTACGAGAAACGTAAGGACTAACAACCTATGTACAAAACCATTAGACATAATCATTATGTTTCTTAGTTTATTCATTTTCAAGCCATACAAGTGGCTCATTTTTATGAGCAGCATTCCCCAACACACGACAAGGCAACTGTTGCGCTACTACTCTCTTTAGTATGTCTCACGAAATATAACTATGTGTATGTAGGCTGATGATTATTTTAATTTGTTGTTAATCACTTATAACCAAATACTCAAAACCTTAAGTATAGTTAAATTCTTTGTAAAATGACAGAGCACAACACTTAAGTAGAACTTAAAATGGTTTAGCCTTTCAGTATTAGGGTGTTAGCCCCATTCTCTACTAACATTCATCGTCATCATCTCAAGCCTATTTCAAGCAATTTGGTGTAGGCTTCCTTCTAATCTTTGGGTTGTTAGTATCCAATTTAGTCCTGGTACCTTTAGGTGAATTTGGAAATTGTTTTTTAATGTTAGTAGTAATTCAGATTAACAGGCTTTAATGTCATTTTAATTATCCAAGATAGATAAAAGTATTTTCTTTCTAATGTGAAAGTAATTAATAAAATGACATCATTAATTAGAACATTTAATTATTAATGATTAATAGGAATATAGGTAGCTAGGTATCCATGTACAATATGTGGCTCTTGTACTCAACATGTTGAACTTCAGTTTCAGATACACCTAATTTTGCCACTTCAACACCAGACCCAAAAAAGGAAACCCCATCCGATGATCATGTTATTGTTGATTCTAATCCGGAATGTGATATGGAGGATGGTAAGTCATCATTTTATTATAGCTTAAAGCCACATTCCCACATAACAAAAATTCAACTCATCTTTGTCCCAAGGAGGTTGCAGACCATAGAGTACTACTTACTATATTCTTTACACACTTTATGTTATCCATTTTAACAAAAGCATTTATTTCAATTAAACCATAGTTTGGTACTTTTGAAACATCAACAAATACACAATAAATAATAGTCTGTCAGTCAGTCCGTCAGTGAAATTAGGTGAAGCTAGGTGCTCATTCCAAAACGTAGATTCGAATGGAGAAGAACAAGCAAATAACTCCATTCGTTACTCTTAACATACACCATACACTCACCTGTAATGTATTCTACACCTGATGCTTGACATCCATTTCCTATTCTGTCCCACACACACACACACATAGGTACAAATTAGTCTCATAAATAAGAAGATTCTAAAAAGAATATTCTAAAAGAAAAAGTTCTTATTTATATTTTGTATCCTAAAAAAGTCTGTTCTCATTTGCAGGTATATCTGAATTGCCGACAGATGATGGTCTTCCAAGCACAGTGACAGTGCTGGATGCTCCTGATGGTGGGAAAGTGTATTTAGTGGGTACTGCACACTTCAGCATACAATCTCAAGAGGATGTATCCAGGGTATGTTACAATTATATTTTCTTTATTTTGGAAATTTAATGTGATTAGTAAAAGTTTTAAGGGATACAAAATGTTAACTTGTATTGCATGAGAATTAATACTATGATTAACCAATTGTGTGTCTAAATGTGATCCACATGAGCTACGATGTATTTTCTATTGTGATATGTTCTCATATTGGTGCATTCAAGCGATTAAAGTACAAGCCTTGTAATATTGTATGTTTATGATAATACTTCTGTTACAGTTTTCAATTTCTTACTTAGTTATAAAATATCTGTGAGTTTTAACTCATCCTGGTTATTGTCATAAGCCATTAAGCCTTTGATTGCCGACAGAAAAATATTGAAAGGAAATCGTCCGCTAATGTAGCTCACCGGTGACATACCGGCGGTTAACGTCTTAAGTATGATAGTCAAAGCATGCTATCAAAATAGTTTGAAAATGGGATACCCTTGTCACCCAAATAATAAAGACCATTATTCTTTGTCATTTCAGGTAATACAAGAAGTAAACCCACACATTGTGATGGTAGAATTATGTGAACAGAGAACTAATATTTTGTTATTAGATGAAGAAGTTATACTTAGGGAAGCTAAGAACATTAACATTAAAAAGATAAGGTTGGTATTACAAAGTATATTAAGTTATTTGTTCACAACAAACATTATACACAATGTTGCAATACAGTTTGATTGCTACCATTGTACAGTGCTGTACTCAATCCGCAGTTGCGCGGCGAGTCTGAGGTTGAAGAGGAAAATAAAACAATTAGCTATGTTCAAACCATATTGACAGTGCAACAGCTTATGTTTCCACTATGCTACATGTCGATATTTATATAAAACAGGAAAAGAGTCCTTAGTTTACTATAAATAACTATAAAATTTTCTTTTGATTCCTGATTCAATTGTCTTTTCATTCAATAAAATGTACATCCAGGTGATTCAATGGGTGAAGTTTATTTATCTATATTTCTTACTCTGATTGTTTGTTTTTACAGAGCGACAATGGCTCAGAATGGCGTATTCAACGGACTTATGTACATATTGTTGTTAAACATGTCCGCCCACATCACTAGGGAGTTGGGTATGGCTCCCGGTGGGGAATTCAGGCGTGCAATGGCTGAGGTAACTAAATTAATACTACAACATAAGAAGAGGACTTAAGATTTTTTACATAGTTTTACGTTTTATTTATATTTATTCTCAGTTTATTATTTTTGAAATAGTAGGTAAGTACTTACCTAATAGGTATCTTTTGGATGAATTAATAGTCTTAAGGTAACCGATTGAACAATTCAAAAGTTATCTAGAGCAAA